AGGGATGGGTTCCACGAGCGTTACCCGGTGGAGGATTACCTGGACCTGTTTGACCTGGCAGCTCACCAGATCCAGGGCGTGCTGCAGAGCGAGGCGGGGAAGGAGCGGGGCAAGAGGAACAACATCATCATCGGTAGGGACAACATAGCCCCAAAATGCCCCAAAAACTCCCTCAAACTCATCATTGGCAGCACCAGAGCTGAGGCTTCAAGGGGGTTTTGGGGTTCTCAGCACAGAGCCCCTGATGATGCTTTTCTTTGTGTGCCTGGAAMCTCTTGGCTTTCTTTTCCTGCAGGGTGGTTCCCTGCTTAAAAAGCAGTGATTATCTTCAGAAAATGCCTGAGTGAGTGCTTGTGATGAACATCAGCATTTAATTAATGTGGGGATTTTTAAAGAAGGAGAATGACCTTGGTGACTCTTTCARACACAGTTTTCATTTTGTTTTCATAAAACCATTCAGGCWGGARAAGCCMTCTAAGATGGTCAAGTCCATCAATTTCCTCAGCATTTCCGAGGTCACCACTGACCCCTGTCCCCAAGTGCCACATCCACACAGTTTTTAAATGCAGTTATTGGGGGTTTGCCTGTTCTGCTGGGATTGTGGCTTCAGTTCCAAATGCTGGAGCAATGACTGGGATAAAACCAAACTGTGGTGTTCTGACACACACTGGGTGCTGCAGGAATCCTGGAAATGTGGTAGCAAAAGCTTCCAGTGGCTCTCCTCAAGCTCCAGCAGAAGATATTGATAGAATTAATTGGTGTTAATATTCAATTACCTAATTACCATTAAAAGTGGACTAGAAGTGCTGTTTTATTGTACTTTGTGGGTTGGCCCTGGCTCTAGGGAGGGATCCCTGTTTTCCGTGACAAGCAGTGGCCAATGCACTGGGCTCACCCACCCGGGTTTACAGTGCCCATGAGGAACATCACAAACTTCTAAATTCTGCTTTTACTGTTTGCTAAAACCAGAAAACTGAAGGGATGAGAGTTTTACCAGCCTTACTCTGTAAATTCAGAATTTCCCAGGGAAGCCAGATGCGTTCCATGCACAGAGTGGTTGTGCAAATGACAATTCCCTGTCAAAAAGAGACTTTTCAAGTAGCCTCAAAGTCAGAAAATTCTACAGAAAACAGAGACAAGGTTTTTGCTGCCTGCCCTCAGAACGATAGGGAGTTTGGTCTCATTATCACCAAAAATTTTAACCTATTGCTGGCTGGCTGAGATGGTGATGATGCCTCAGCTTGTTAAAACCAGAGCCTTGGCTGACTCACATTTGTTCAACACCTCCCAGCCTCCATTTATGTCCATCATTCCCTTTATTAAACATTTGCAACATTGGCTTTTTAAGAAAYGTTGCCATCAAGGACATCTGCGGATTTTCTTGCTACTTCCAATAATATCTCCTGTCCTTTCATGGGTGAAAGTGCTTATACTAATTAAATTCACTAATCTAATTGGCAAYGTGCATCTTTGATTACTTACCTCCTGTTGCAGCTCTTTGCAGAGTTCWCTCTGTGTTGCTTTTTCCTGTGGTCTCATTTCTTGTTTCATTAAGGTTCCGCTGGCTTTTCTTATTAAGTTTGCAGGAAAAGTCTTGAATGATTATACTCATTAAGGCAGTCTTTTATGACCTTGGTAAAAAAAAACAAAACAAAGCCATCTAGCCTAAAATGAATCTGTATGAATATCAGGTTTGCTTATAATCTCCCTTTTCTTATTTCAGACTGCAAAGAAAAATCAAATTAAAACTGTAAATATTTCAGCAGTTCATCATGTTATATTATTTTGAAAAGTTAAGCTGCTTTGGATATTAAACATAGTGGGTAATAAYTGYRTTTTCCAAAAGAAAAACCAGCCCAACATCTGCTTAGAGATGAACCAGAGAGGACAGGGCTGATCCAGCCTGAGGCATTCTGAGCAGGACTTGTTTATTTGGGGTCATTAATGTGATAAATTCAGAGGAATGCCTTGTGAAAACACAATATGATGCTAAATCGTTAATGACTGAATGAGGAGGTGATACGTCCGTTCTTTAGGCAATTTAATAACTCACATGTTCTTTAACTCCATAAGAAAAAAAATAATTCAGTTGCACTGGAGTAATTACACATAATTAATTGTTGTTGATTAATTTGTCTCATGTTTAGTATGGCTTGTTCTCTTCGCAGGTATTAAATCTGTATTATGAAACAAAACCAAACATTGTGTTTTCAAATTGTCAGGAATATTTTTGTTTGGCTGCTTCAGGAAATTAAAATTATAAGAACCAGCAGGGACCAGAACTATATATATATATAAAATATGGAAATATAAATATATAAATAAAATGAAATGAATAAATATAATAAAATAGATATTTTTATAAATATGTATATATAAATATACATTTTATATATTTATATAAATATGTATATATAAATATATATTATATATATACTTTTTTTCCTCCTCATTAAACTCCTGGCAGTCACCTTGTGGGCAGATTTACCCTCTTGAGCCCAGGTTATCCTGGGCTGGCTGCCCTGCAGCAGCAC